CGCCTGTAATTCCAGCACTTTGGGAGGCCAAGGCAGGCAGATCACGTGAGGTCAGGAGTTCGAGACCAGCCTGACCAACATGTTGAAACTCCCATCTCTACTAAAAATACAAAAATTAGCCAGGCATGGTGGTGCACTCCTGTAATCCCAGCTACTTGGAAGGCTGAGGCAGGAGAATCGCTTGAACCTGGGAGGCAGAGGTTGTGATGAGCCGAGATTGTGTCACTGCACTCCAGCCTGGAGGACAGAGCAAGATTCCATCTCAAAAAGAAAAAAAAAAAAAGAAAAGGAAAAGGGGTAAGGGACACAGGAGAAGAAGCTGGGAGGAATAAAAAGTACAGCTGACCTTCCTGAATCTCGGATTCTGTAGTTGTGATTTCATTTTCTCACCAAAATTTGTTTGCGGCCCTAGAATCGACACTCCACAGCACTGTCATGGCCATTGGCTAACATGCTTAGGGCAGTGAAAAATTTGAGCTGCCGTTCAGGTTCCAGCTGAAGTTGAACAAGATGATGTTCTGCTTTCTTGTTCCAGCTCTCATGCTGTTAACAAGAGTCCTTTTCCTATTTAATGCCACATTTCCCCCATTTTTGTGCTTTTTGCTGTTTAAGTGGGTCCCCAGGTATAGTGCTGAAGAGCCCTTAGCATTCCTAAGCACAGGAAGCTGTGTCTTATGGAGAAAATATGCATGTTAGACAAGCTCCATTCAGGCATGAGTCACAGTGCTGCTGGCTGTGAGTTCAGTGTTAATGATCAACTACACACACACACACATTTTGAGACAGGGTCTCACTCTTACCACCAAGGCTGGAGTGCAGTGGCACTATCATACACACTTCAGCCTCGACCTCCCAGGCTTAAACGATCCTCTCACCTCAGCCTCCTGGGTAGCTGGGACTACAAGCACATACAACCGTTCACGGCTAATTTTTTATTTTTTATAGAGATAGGGTCTCACCATATTGCCAGGCTGGTCATGAACTCCTGGGCTCAAGCAATCCTCTTGCCTCACCCTCCCAAAGTGTTGGGATTATAGGTGTGAACTACCACATCTAGCCAACAACATATATTACATAGGGTGTCTTTAAATAGAGACACACATAAATTAACGTTATGTATTGATTGATGAAAATGTGACCAGAGGCTTGCAGCACTGTATTTCCGCTAGGAGCAATGGTTCAGTATTCACGAATCCAATGTTTGTGGTGACTTTACACAACATAACTAACTATGAATAACAAGAATCAACTGCATTTCAACATGGACTAGAAGGAAACACATCCAAATCACAATGGTAGTTGGCTTTGAGGACAGGGTGTGGAGAAGAAAACCAGAGGTATTTGTCAATAGAGACATTTAAGGCCGAAAACAAGCATTACAAAATGTTAACTATTACTGCGTGGTGCTAATATGGGTATTTGTTTAAATTTGTAATTATTTTAATTTCCAAAAGTAACAATCCTTAGGACATGAGAGTTATGAGATAATGGATTAACAGGATGGTGGTCACCATTAAAAGTGTGTTTCTACACACTTCAGCACCCATATACAAGAGCTGAGTGTGAACTCAGCTGTGCGCTAAGCATTACTTAACCAAAAACCGTAATTTGGCAAAGTGAAGCCTGCTACATGGCCACAGCTGGTCTTAATATGCAACAGGGCTGTCCTGTCGGCATTAACTATGGCATAGAGCTAGCATTATAAAGCTTTCCTTACTTTCAAAGAAATTTTGTGAATTTATATAGTTGGAAGATGATGTTGCTTGAAATACTGGGGCATGAAATTTATTTCCCTCTAGCAACTGATACCATTTCACAGCCAAATTATAAAGCCACTCACAGTTCTGTATCAATTAGAAATCTCACCGCCTGTAACTTTAAAATCTTTCCAACAGTTATAATAGAATATTTTGCTAGTCTGCCCCAAGATAAAGCAAGTAGGTCTCAGGAAACTATATTTTCTTTCCTAATTATTTCAGTAAGTAAAATAGTTAAGCATAATCTCCAAATACCTCAGTCTCCCTATGCAAAATGAAAAGAATACTCTTTGCCACATGACTGAAAAGGATAAAGTGACTTGAAATCCGTGGAGAAAAAAGTATTTGTGCACAGAAACTATTATTTTAAGTAAACGAAGTAAAGGGACACTTGAAGATACTATCTATAAGTTAATGAGAAGGCAAATAGCCAAGGCAATCCTAAGCAAAAAGAACAAAGCTGGAGGCACTACATTACCTGACTTCGCACTATACTACAAGGCTACAGTAACCAAAACAGCATGGTACTGGTACAAACACGGGCATATAGACTAATGGAACGGAATAGAGAGCCAAGAAATAAGGCTGCACATCTACAACTATCTCTTTGACAAAGCTGACAAGAACAAGCAAGGGGAAAATGACTCTCTATTCAATAAATGCTGCTGGGATAACTGGCTAGCCATATGCGGAAGACCGAAAATGGATCCCTTCCTTAAACTATACATAAAAATCTACTCAAGATGGATTAAAGACTGTAATGTAAGACCCAAAACTATAAAACCCTGGAAGATAACCTAAGTAATACCATTCCAGACACAGGAGTGGGCAAACATTTCATGACACAGACACCAAAAGCAACGGCAACAAAAGCAAAAAATTGTCAAGTGGGATGTAAGGAAGCTTAAGAGCTGCTGTACAGCGAAAGAGTCAACAGCCAGCCTACAGAATGGGAGAATGTATGTGTAAACTGTGCATCTGACGAAGGTCTAATATCCAGCATCTATAAGAAACTCAAATTTACAAGAAAAAAACAACCAACACCATTAAAAAGTGGGCAAAGGACATGCCCACTTCTCAAGAGAATTATAGAAATGTTTCAATTAACTAGAAAAAGGAGAAGGATTGCCATAATTTCATAATCTGAATGCTCTGATTTGTTATGGCTTAAGCAGAAAGAAATGTCTTGTCCCTGAAAATTCTTAAATATATCTTACAATTGGTTGCCCTATTTAAAGATTACTACTACCACTGATACATCTCGTATTTATTGAACATCTGTGGTGTAACTGGTGCTGGTGAGTGCTACTTACCCATTTAAGCCTCACAATAGCGCTATGCCATCACCATTCTTTGGCTGCCCATTTAAACTGAGGAAGCTGAGGTGGAGAGTAGGTAAAAAAAAAAATGAATGCAACCCTCTAATAACTAAGTGACTTAATCACTTCCTTGCCATCATGTCAAACCTTCCTGAATCTATACTCTCTGAGGATGGCAACAATATTGATGCTAGGCTATGGTCTTGAATTGGGAATAAACTCTGGCACTAGTATGCTTCATCATCATTTATCTTCCAGTCTTAGGAGAACAGAAGGGAGTGGTTAAACATAAATGCCAGGCAATCCAGTGTCTCTTTTAATGGTTTAATATATGTTGCTGTACCTTGAGTGAAAATCAGGAGTGTGACAATTTAGTGAAGGTGTTCAGATCACATGCTAATTATTTATTTCTTGGTAGCACTGCAAAATCCACTGCATTACGGAAGCAGTAATCCCATCGGTTGAGCTGAAGGTCCCACCACATTGCAGACCGCCCAGGGGCTCTTTCACTGAATATCCCTAACTCATACCAAGTTTATTCTTTTTTCCTTAGAAATGTTACCTTTTCTTAAGCTGTGTGGTGGCAAAAATGACTTCTAGCTCAAGATAACTCCTTATTTTTGACCATGATAGCCAAAGGGCTCGATTTTTCACCAGTTTCCTCTAAACAGGCAATGCCTGCTGAGGCCCGATCACCTGCACCTTGACGTCACTCGTGTCCAACAGCATCTTCACGCTGTGGCTGACCATCTGTTTTTAGAGCCATTCCACTGTCTCTTTGCGCATAACATCACACATCCCTTTTAAAAAAGTGAAGTCCATACTCACCTATGAAAATGGAAATTAAAAAAACATTAAAAAGGACAGAAAGACATCAAGCTTGTTTCATTTCCATAAATGAAAACTGCATTGTATCATTATGAAAGTGTATAAAATATTTGGAAACGCCAACAAATTATCTCTATTAGTAAGTGGGTTTATTGGCATAACTGAACATAAGAATGTATAACATTTATTCATTTCCCACTGAAAGACTTCCCAGTGAAACTAAACTAGAACACAGATCCAGGCATGAGGTGTTTTCAGTGATGTTCTATGGCTGAAAAGGTGGCTGGTGAGGAGAACCAGAGGCCTTGTCCATACTTGTAGTGGGACTCAATACTACCCTGCTGGGCAAAAGAAATAGCTAGGAGATGTAATCATGCTATGACTGAAAAAAAGCCAGGAGCACAAAAGGTGCCAGATAGCTCACTGGTGGAAAATAAGAGCAAACAACACTACTGCTCCCATCTACCAATATGCTCTGAATCTGAAAGAAGCCCTGGCAGCACACTAAGAATGACAGCCTATTTCCTGTGGTTTATTAAATTTTGGCCCCACAGATAAGACTGCCAGAAAAGCAGCTGTAGTTTAAGTGGTCTGGACATTTACTCATCTGAGCATAAACAACGATCAGCTCATTCAGATGGCTGGTTCCCTACTCAGCTGTTGAGATGAGGGCAGGGATGGGTCAATCTAGGCCAAACACAAAAGGAGTGAACTGGGGTGAAAGACCCCAGGCAGTGTTGGATTCCCTGAGTCACCAGGACCCTCAGAGGCTTAAGGTTCTAAACAGAAGGTTCCACTGTCAGCCTCAGCACCATTGCAGTGACCTCCATGGTACTCTACTGTCGATAAATCCATGACCACTGTGAACATAACCACAGTGTACATTCTCTTAGTAACTGCATTTTTAGACCACACATAAAATTATTAATGTAAATCAAATTATTAATGTAAACCAAACCACTATACTTAGTGATAAACATGTACTTCATAAATAGCAGGGAATGAAAGTATCCCAAATAACTGGAAACAACCAAACAAATAAAGGATCCTACCCCTAAGTTTAAAACAAAAACATTTAAAAGAAATGCTGCAACTATTAGCTAAAAGATAAGATTTAATCACACAGTAAGACACTGGGTTGGGGAGGGATTAATTGCAAAATATATCATTATTTCACAGTGAGGTTTAAGTACTCAACAATCTTCTGGTTTTAGTAGAAAAGATACCCACTGGTGTATTTTTTTCACATTTGTTTTCCATAATTTCTTCCCCTCTACTACATCATATAAAGAAAGACACTAATGTGGTCAAACATTAAACTATCAATTGACAATCACCTTTTGCTTCCCTATTAGGAAATTACCTTCCTCACTTAACTGCAACTCAAGAGAATTAGGGTACAGTCAACCATGTCACTGATAAAAACATGAGAAGTACCACATCACATTTATTCCAATCTAAACACACTGTCACAGATGTGGTAAGTGAACTGGAATTCTGGTGTTCCCCAGGGGGTCATCAGCTATGTATACATTACATTCTTTTATCAAATCTGGCATTGAAATTTCCTTTTCCATATATAGGTTTAAAAAAATAAAATTAAAAAGCCACAGGAGCAACCCTGACAGAGAAGTCTTGCATGCAGTCTTCTCCTGAGAAAGTACGTAATCTTAGTTATCCTCCAAGTCAGCAAACGCTCTTGTACTGTTAATGTTAAAAGTAACATCATAGAATGGCCCAGTTCAACTAAAACAGTCCTTGAGTCAATTGGTCAGTTCGTTAAATGTCAGAGCTTTTCACATTGTTTTAAAAAAATTGCATCTCTTATTATTTAAACTTTATGGTATCCTGAATGCTCTATCAGTCAACATAAATGAGTTCCTTGGCGGCTGTGTTAAACTTTACCACCTGTTTACATCCCCCTTCCTGGCAGAGATCACCAAACCAGTGGAGTCCCAGGCCAAGCCTCCTTTGTAATGGTAATAAGTTCCTTTTTCCTTAAATAGAAACAAAAGTCCTCTGTGTGACACTGAGCAAACAAAAAGCATGCACCCAAATCTTTCTGGCCATTTGGGGGCACAAGCACCGCCTTTCTACCTCCAAAGAAGCCAGGCTATTGCATTGCAATGCTACAAAAGCCATTTGTATAACTGTGGCAAAGCCTCCAAGTGAAGGCTGCCTCCCACCTCAGCATCCCACCATTCATTTGTCCCAGACTCTTGGCCTTGACCACCAAGTACCATCCATTTACAGTTTGAGTACTGGGAATTGGGGGATGGTGCCCAAATTGGCCCTCTGTCCCCATTGGCCTCTCTGGCAAGTGCATAAAAGGGCACTTCCCCTGAGGTGGGCTGGTGGGCCCCACAGAGAGGCGGCTCCTTGGTGCCAATGAGATGGTCTCTACACGCCCTGGACCTAGTCAGCAAATCGCTGCAGGAGATGTTCCTCCCGTCTCAAACTGCCGCCCGCGCCACCTCCCGCACTGTCCATGAAGCGGTCGCAGGGGAACTCGATGAGATCCGCCTCACTGAGTGCGCACACGGTGGTGCGCGGCCGGTGCGACTGGAATCCCGAGAAGTCGGCGGACACGCCGGTGCCCATGGAGCGCAGGGGCCGTCGGGTGGAGTACATGTGGCGAACGTGGACCGGGGCCCCGCCCTTCCGCCGGGCCCGCAGCTTCCTCCGCAGCCAGCGAGACGCCCAGGCCGCCAAGGCCAGGAGCACCAGCAGCGCGTTGACCGTCAGCAAGGCCAAGGTCAGCAGCTGGTAGTCGACGCCGCCCCGGCTCGCGGCCTCCGGCAGTGTGACCAGCCCGGCGCAGTGGTCCCGGGGAGCCACCGGGCAGACGCGACCCCCAAGCACGCCCTCCACGCACACCAGGTAGGGGGTGTCCCCGCGCAGCTCGCGCAGCGTAGCCGAATCGCTGCGCTCCGGCAGGTAGACGAAGCGGTGGAACTTGGGCTGCTGGCCAAAGCGGTCGAACAGCAGGCGGAAGCGCGCGCCGCCCAGCGGCCGGGGACTGCGGTGCTCGCGCACAGCCCAGCGCACCGAGGCGCTGTCTGCGCCCACCGCCTCCACCGTCAGGTTGCACAGGATGAACTTGTTGAAGTCGCACGGGTCGGACACCAGCGGCGGCAGCCCGGCTCCGCCGTCGGAGTGGGCGGCACGCTCCTGCTGCTCCGTGGCCAGGCGCTGCTTCGTCGCGCGCTGCCAGGGTTCGCCGGCGGGCGACGGCGCAGAGCCGGGAGAGGCAGTTGGGGTGGGCTCCATATGGGCGGGATCTGCCCGGGTGGGACGGCCCCGCTGGGGCTTCTCTCGCAAGTCTAGGCGCTGTGGGGCCTGGCCCGCGGCGGCAGCGGCGGAGGGGCTGGGCTGTTGGAGGCCCGGGCCCCGCCGGCTCAGCCTCACGGCGCTGCGGTTGCCCACGAGCTCCCTGGCAGCCCCATCCCAGGCCACCCCAGGTGGAAATCGCCCCCGCTGCAGGAGCTGCGGTTGCGGCGGCAGCTCCTCCGTGAGACCTGCAGGGGGCGTCATCTCCTCCCCCGCAGCCGTGGGCAGGGGTCCTTGCCTGCCGTCGGCGGTCAGGGAAGCTGAGGGCGAGGGGTCTGGGCAGGACCCGTTCTGCAGCTGCTGGTCATCCAGGTAATCCAGGTATTTGCCTCGCAGGGCCGGGGGATGGCGACACTGCACGAAGACAGTGAGAAGCCGGCCCTGCGAGTGCCAGTCGCCCATCCAGCGCTTCAGGCCTCGCAGCCGGCAGTCGCAGGTCCAGCCGTTGCCGTCTAGATCCAGCCGATAAAGGGCTGGGCTAGCAGCGAAGATGTCCCCGGATAGCGCGCTGAGCGCGTTGTTGCGCAGGCTGAGCTCGCGCAGCCGGCCCAGGTGACCGAAGGTGGCCGGGTGCAGGGCCGACAGCTCGTTGCCGCTCAGGTCCAGCGCCTCCAGGCTGTGCAGAGGCTCCAACAGCGCGGTGGGCAGCTGGCTCAGCCGATTGCCCTCCAGGCGCAGCTCGCGCAGGGCCTCCAACCCCCAAAAGGCCTCCGGCGCGAGGTGCGTGAGCTGGTTCCCCCTGAGCGAGAGCAGGCCGAGGCGTGGCAGGTGCTGGAAGACGCGCGGCCCGAGGTGCTGCAGGCTGTTGGCCGAGAGGATGAGGGTGGAGAGGGAGCGCAGCGGTGCGAAGGTGGCCGCGTGGCGCAGGGAGGGCTGTAGCTCGTTGGCAGAGAGGTTGAGGAAGCGCAGCTTGCCCAGCTGTGCGAAGGCATTCTTGCCCAGAAAGCGGATCCGGTTGGACTCCAGATGTAGGTAGAGCAGGTTGCTCAGCGGGGCAAAGACTGCGTCCGGCAGCGCCCCGAGGGCGTTCCCGTCCAGCCGCAGCTTGACCAGACTCTCCAGGCCCTCGAAGGAGCCGCGGCTTAGGCGGCCGATCTCGTTCCCGTTGGCGTAGAGGATGCGCAGCTTGCGCAGCGGGGCCAGCGTGCCTGGGGCGAGCGCCTGCAAGAGGTTGTTCCCCAGGTACAGCTCTTCCAGCCGCGAGAGCTTCTCGAAAGTCTTGGGGTGCAGAGAGCGGATCTGGTTGTACTGCAGGTCCAGCCGTCTGAGCTGCCCCAGACGGTGGAAGTCAAAGGCCGTGATGTTGGTTATGAAGTTGCCGCCAAGGCTGTAGGTGAGCACGTCGTGGGGATTCGGCAGCGAGCTGGTCTTGGGCACGACGCGGAGCCCCCTGTTGGTGCACAGGAGGTGCTGGGCATGCTGGCAGTCGCATCGCTCCGGGCACACGGGCTCGGCCCGCGGCGGGAGCGCGAAGCAGCCGCACACCACGAGCAGGAAGCGCACGGCGCGGGCAGCCTCCATCGCCGCCCGCCCTGCGTGCTGCGGCCGGATCGTCCTCTTGGCCAGCCGGCTCTGTGTCTCCTCTGCATTCCCCTTGGCCTGGCCAGAGTCACTAAATGGCCTCTTTGGGACTTCGCAGCGCCGTCCAGCCCCTCCTCCGTCCTTTGTCCGGCGGCTCTGCAGGCGGGCTTCGCCCGGCCAAGTCAGGCGGCGCGGGGCGCTCTGCGGACTCCGGGTGCTACTTGTTGCATTTCTGTAGAAAACTGTTTCTCTTGGTGCGCGTCGGGGGGCGAGAGGAGGGAGCCAGAACCGGCGCTTTTTGTTTGCAGCAGAGTCCGGAGAGCTGGATTCCCTGGCGCGGATTCTCCCCGCCGAGTGGATTCCCCTGCTGCAGGCGGGAGCCCTTCCAAGAACTTCTCTGGGCGCGGCTTGGCAGCGGAGCCCGGGCGGCTCGGCCCCCGCAGCCGGCACCTCCTCGCTCGCGGTCCCGGACGGGGAACGCGGCCCCGGTGCAACAGCTTGGGGAGCACGCGGCTGCGTCCGGAAGGGACCCGAGTTTGCGAGCAGAGAGCAAACCGGGCGGAAATTCGTTCTTCCCACACTCTGCCCGCGGGGACGCAGGCGGAGAAAGAGGAGACGGCGGAGGGAGGACAGACCCCGGCAGGGGGAGGAGGAAACGCTAAGTGGCTCCACGTCTGGTCAGCCCGAGCCCAGGATGCCAAGTGAGAAAAGTAGGGATTAAAAACAGCTGTACGGGGCGGACGCGCTAGGCTGGGGCGGAGGAGGATTACCGGGCGAGCAAACGGGATTTGCAGACAGAGACCTTTTTATTTTAGACGAGTACACCAGCCGCGTCTGAGCAGTGGGAGAGCGCCTTGCCTTCCTTGTTTTTAAGTCACTTGTTCCATCCAGGTGCCACCCTGTGGGAAGTTTGGGCAGCACGGCGGCCGCCAGCATTCTGCAGGAAGTTCAGAGAGCACAAGGTTGCCTGCAGAAGGCCGTAAGAATAGGAGGGTAGGTGAACCCAGTCTGACGGTTGCTACTTGGGTCTTTGACGTCGCTGTACTAGTAGCTGAGGAGAGGCACCACCCCCTTTTAGATATCTAAAGGGAGTATTTACTCCATCCTGCCGTGGGCTAGAACTTGAAGATACCACAGAACTGGTTCTCCTGCTGTGGGCTAGAACTTCAAGATATCACAGAACTGGTTCTCCTGCTGTGGGCTAGAACTTCAAGACATCACAGAACTGGTTCTGCCACCGTGAAAGTGTCTCTGCCATCTGCCACATTTTGGTGCTTCAGTTCCATTAACTCTCTTCCAGGAATAGAGCCCTTGGGGTAGGCTCTGCTCCTATGCACATACATAATAACCTTCACAGACCCGAAGGTAACCTCTTCCTCCAAGGCCCTCCTGCTTCATGCCTGGATTTGCAGTGATCTTCAAAGTCTTTAGGCCCAGAAATGTTCAGGCCTGGCTCAGTTGGGGAAGCATTATTATTTATTATCTGTAGGGAATGGAGCATTTAATCAGTGGCTCCTTTGGGGTCAGCCCCTGGTGAGAATGAGAATACACAAAGAGGACCTGTTAATTACTGTTTATTTATGTGAACCATCTTGCTAAAATTAAGGACCCTCCCCCCATCCAAGGTGTTGAGAAAACCTAACTTTTGAGCACCTACTCTGCAACAGTGTGGAAAAGTAAAGGAAAGATAGAGATCCTCACCTTAAGAGAATGACGGTCCAGTGGGAAGGGCAATGCATTGAAAGGTTAGATAGTAATATAAGGCAGTAAGAGAGAACACTGCAAAAATGAAAATGGTATTTTTTTTTTTTTTGACAGGATCTCCCTCTGTTGCCCAGGCTGGAGTACAGTGGCTTGATCTCTGCTCACTGCAGCCTTGACTTCCAGCACTCAAGTGATCTGCACACCTCAGCCTCCCAAGTAGCTGGTACTAACAGGTGCCTGTGGCAATGCCCAGCTGATTTTTGTATTTTTTTATAGAGAGGGAGTTTTGCCATGTTGCCGGTCTGGTCTTGAACTCCTGGTCTCAAGCGATCCTCCCACCTTGGCCTCCCAAAGTGCTAGGATTATAGGTATGAGCCACCACACAGGGTGACAAATGATTTTTAGTAATTCCATGTTTCACAGTAATTGCCTCATTTAGCAATTAATATAGGCAAGTAATAGAGGCAAGTTATGAATTTAGAGAAAGATGAGATTGTTGGCAAGGTAGTCAGTGGTGACTTCATGCGTGAGCAGGAACCTTGGCTTTCAGGGAGATGAGTCAAGATGAGATGATAGTATTGGGAGATCAGTGCTGAGGGGTGGAGCCATGATAGTCCCAAGGTACAGCTCCTGGCCTGAGAGTGTGAGGAAGGCATCTAGAAGAGGGGAAACCTGTACTGAGTTTGAGGGGTGAGTGGCGTTACCTGGATAGAGGAAGTTGAGCAGGCACTCGAGGAGAAGCCTGGCAACATATGCAAGAGAGGGATTTAGGAACCTCTACATCTTCTGTCTGCATATTTAGGGTGACCTTTATTAATGTATTATTTTACAGTATCTTACACCCTAGCTTATACAGTGACTTGACATAAATATTTCTTTATTTCCCTGTAAGGATTTCAGCAGGCAGCTGCTGTAATCATACTTGCTCTGCAACCTCAAGAGGAATCTCTGCCTAAATAAACAAAGTAGGTGCTATACAAAGAAAATGTTGTCTTCCTAGTTCTTGCCTTCTAGGTCCTTGAAATCTGTGACACTAATAAGTGAGATATGTGGATAGAGCATCCAGACTGAGGCATTCAGCTGTACCACACACGTAGGCATCCTGTAGATACTGTGTATGTACCTCCCTCAACCAGGCCAATATGGGCCCTGTCTCTGGACCTTGTGCTTTAGAGGGCTGTGTTCCAGTCCTCCTCTGGCCATGCCCCTCCAAATAAGAACAGGATTTCAGGCTTCAAAGGAGATGTGCACACTCTTACCCACCTCCTGCTCAGGGTTCTCTAGACCCTGGAATTCCTGTGTAACTGCCTAAGTATATCTAGGCTGCCTTCACATCTGTCTTCCCGTGACCAGTCATACCACAAGTGTACATGCTCCTAGGGCCAAGGGAAGAGCAAGGGGGTAGCTGTGCAAAAGGAATCAGGAGATGTGGGCTGGAGTTTCCACTGGGAGGCCCCCAGGAGACCCCTCATAATTCAGGAGCCAGAACTGGGAAGGGCAGCCGAGGGCCAGTGAGTGACCTTTCACACTCTAACCCTGGGCTTCTCAAATTTTGAAGACAGGCCTGTCTATGTGTAGCTATTTTTGGAGGGGAGAAAGTAAATGTACTTCGATTTTAGAAAGTACAGGGAGAAAAAAATAAGGAGTTTGAAAGAAAGCGTTTTCTTGTTTGTTTTTGGGTTTTGGGGTTTTTGTTTGTTTGTTTGTTTTGGTTTTGGTTTTGGTTTTGTATTTTTTGAGACAGAGTCTCACTCTTTTGCCCAGGCTGGAGTTCAGTTGCATGGTCTCAGCTCACTGCCACCTCCACCTTCTGGGTTCAAGCAATTCTCCTGCCTCAGCCTCCTGAGTAGCTGGGATTACAGGAGTATGCTACCACACCCAGCTAATTTTTGTATTTTTAGTAGAGACAGCATTTCACCATGTTGGCCAAGCTGGCCTTGAACTCTTGACCTCGTGATCTGGGATTACAGTTGTGAGCCACCATGCCTGGCCAGAAAGCGGTTTTTAGAAATACAAGTTCTACTTTATTATAACATAGGCTAGGCTATACTTAATTTTCTATAAAAAGTAATGCTTTTTGTAAAAGCAAGGACACAGTTGTCTCTAGGTAAATTAATGTCTCGAACTATGTAATGTTTTTGTTAATGGATGGATCCAGGCTTGATCAGCTTCCAGGAGATTCAAGTATTGATTATGCTTAAGTGTATAATTTGCATAATCACAACTGGAAATCCAGGATGGAATGCCATTCATGAGAGAAGACAAGAGCTTTGTCATTTCACTTTTGGAAAGCTTGCACTTTAAAACTCAAGTGCACTGCAAGGTAGTGTTAGAAGTCAGAAGCACAAATACCTTTGGGCTGGTTCCATGACACAAACGTGGTATAAGGGCTCTCAGGAGTCTTGCCCAGGCATGGAATCTCCTCAGGCTTGCCATGGTTGTATACCTGTCTTCCCAAGCAACATGTGGTTCCCTTGAACTTCAGCTACAGAGTTATGAAGGATTCCAGGAGTGTCTTCAGCAACCCCTGGAGCTGGCAGAATTTGGTCAGGCAGTGCCCTGGAGCCCATGGGTGGGGGGAGGGGAGGTGGAGCCAGCCCAGTTCTGCCGGAGCAGCATCCTGGAGCTTACTCCGGCAGCCTGCAGGAATGGTAGCTGTTTCCTCCCCTCAAGGGCGCCAACCCCAGACCAGCTGTATGGCCCCTGACACAGGCGAAGTAGGAAACAGGAGAGTCCCCACTGATCCCTTGGCATATTATCAGATGCCCCCCAAATTTGTCTTTCTATGAGCTGCGTCTTAGCCCCAGCCCGAGAGACAAGTTTCTTTTCCTTGGGGATTAGGGATGTCAAAGAGATAGCCTATTGTTTACAGAATCCACCAATTCCCATTTCCTGAGAAATACAGGAATGCAGGTCTCTGGCCAGGTACCAGCCTATTAAATCAGAATCTCTAGACAACAAAACTATGGCATCTGTGTCTGTAAGTTTACCAGGTGATTTTTATGCACGCTCAAGTTTGAGAAAACCAATAGACAATACTTCAAAACACCTATTTATGATTGGCTGATTATGTAACAACAATAATAATATAATAAAACTGGCATTTACGTAGTGCTTGGTGAAGGCCAGGCAGTGATCTAAGCACTCTACATAAAATAACTCATTTATTTCCATAACTACTCAGGGAGGTAGAAGCAATTATTGTCTTCATTTTACAAAGAGGCTCTTTAAAAATATAGGATCCTAGCCCCACCCCCAGAAAATTGGATATGGAACCTTCAGAATAGGGCCTAGAG